CGCTTTCGGGTGGAGCCTCCCTGTATAGGCCATTATAGGGAGTACCCCCCAGGGACCTCCAAGCACTATAAATGATGCATCACCTCCTCTTGGATGGAAAGATAAGTCATCAATATATGAAGCATAACCATACCATTATGTTACTTGTTCAGTCTGGGATTCTTTAGAAGCAACAAACAGATGACTAAAATCGGCAATAAATCCATCCCCTTGTTTCATTTGTGCAAATCTGCTCATTTCATTGTGTTGTATATTGTAGTAGATGTGGGACAGGTCAGTCTAATGTTATCTTACTTACATCAGCAGGTGTTCTTCAACTTTCAATAACCTTAAAAGAACCTTCTTTCTCTGAACCATTCAATGTTAACTCCTCAAGGGTTTTAAGGCCTGGGTTGACAGTGTGTTCAGAGCATATTATCATAACATTGAATAACAGTGATTATCTTTTGCTTGGAGGCTGGGAACAAAGAATATGAAATTTTCCGCAAAAGTAAATCTTGAGGGCGTCTTGTGCTTTACGCCCTGTTCAGATGCCAAACTTTTCATGAGCTGACCCTAATACATTGAATCAAGTACATGAAAAGTTCGGCCTCTGAATCAATTAGGAACGCCTGCACGCTTCAATTTGGAACAGCTCCCCCAGCCGTTCTGTTTGCCCAGCCTATGGAGTGACTTTGGAACGCCTTTGATTTAGACCCCGAACTTTTCATGTACTGAACCGAATGCATAAATTATTATTAATAACGTACTTTGTTACAAGCAGTTTGACCAAAATGAGCATAATTTTTACTGTTTGACTTTAGTGCAGTGGCAATTAAGAACGGCGTTGAAATCAATTCAGCTGATCTAAATAATTTGGGTCGGCCTTAATTCAAATTAGGTTTGGCTCTTGAAAAGTTCGGCGCCTGAACCCGGCCTTTGTGCTTAATTATGGTCAAGTGACGTGTCATGTTACCAAAAACTGAAAATAGAGGATCGAAATTGGCAAATTGGTGGCAAATTTACTTTGTTTAGATGAATAGTGATTGGTTTTTCTCATAGATCAGAATAAACACACCTCACATTTTACGTTTGGAATGAATGTACACTGAGTTCAAAATTTAAAGTTTTAAATAATTCAAGGCTAAATTAAGGCATTCAAAATGATGCTTTCCCTCATAATTTTTTTATTGAATTACAATGGATGGTTATGCCAAATGAGAAGTGTTAGAAATATTTAATATGAATGAGAAAAATGAAATCACTCAATATTCTTTTCTTAAACCCATCACCAATAATATTAATTTTGTCAATTATATAAGATTATAGCAAAATGGTCACATGACATATAACGTGACTTACTAACACAATATTAATTTTATACTTGAAAATGTTAAGGATGATAAGTTCTTTATGTGTGCCAAATTCTGATTCAGCTCCATTATCTGTGCCAAAGTTACAAACAATAAATAACTTTTCAAAGGTAAACCTATTAGACCCAGCTGACCCAGGCCTTAAACTACTTGAGTCCTAGCCTGCATCCAGTCCCTATAAATCTGTCATACACATCCTAATTACTTCTTGTTTCAGGATTACTTAGAACTAAAAAACCATGACAAAAGAAGGGGTTAAAACCAGATGTACATAGATGTTCTATTTCTGGTCTTTTCATGCAGCCATTAGAATGCTGGTCTAAGCTGTGACCATTTTGGTCGTCATGGGGGGTAAAAAAATTTGGCAACTAAGTTGAAAGTTAAGTACCAGCAATCAATCTGGTTAATGGTAAAACCTGTCATGTATAGTAGTATTGCACCAAGCATGTTTTTATTATTATTTTTATTATCATTTTTTTAATGGCAACCACTATTTTATATCTGGTGGCTTTTTCTATAATTATAGCTTGCAAACAGGTGTGCTTGGAGCATTGCACTGCCATGTTTACTGGAATAATAACTATTGCCATGGC